GAAAAAGGGACTAGGCTTATTTGTTTGTCTAAGTTAATTTTATTTTGTTGTGTGTCGCGTGGTTGAGTTAGGATGTCCTAGTCGACCGACGTTAAACCGCATATGGGAGATCAACGCCCCAACGTGATGGTTCGAGTACAAGTCCCAGCTAGGCGTGGACCGCGCGTACACCCTATGCTACAACATACGAGAAACGCCCTTGGCTGGGACACCTCCGCGATTGTACATAAAAACTTCCGCGTGTGGTTCAGTAGCTCGACAGGGATACGCCCACCCAAGGGATGGTGACAGGTCCCACGGGTGGAGGTAGTGGAGGTAAGTTGTACCTAGCGAGACCTTGTCCTGTCATAGGGACTGGATGAAGGTATAGCTGGCGCACTCGATCAGAGCGGCTCTGCCACTTCCCCTTTTGTGAAGTGACTTGCATAATCTGGCAATCCTGCGTGACACGGTCGGGAAGGTCCCCCCAACGGGGACCGTGCGCTCGCCAACGGCCATGGAGACCATCGCAACCGACAATGTGGCAACGAGTTGCACGCCACGCCTTCACGGTTTCTGACAAGAACTGCCGAACGTTCTGTCATACGGGCTGTGCACGTGTCAACACCCGACAACCAGGGGCGACGGACCTGACACCCACAACCTCCCCGCCCGCTCAAAACGGCCGAACTGAATCCTTTGTCCCACCTTCCGGACCGAGCGTGCACACCATCGCCAATGTTTTCCTTAGGCCGGGCCAAAAAAGGTGATGGGATGAAAGCCAGCATCTTCTTGCACAGTCTACCCTCGCCATGGCTGTAAACACTCTGCGGCTGTGCCACGCGTGGACTTGTCTGCCACGCTGCGTTTGTGACACAATGGCTGGCATGAGGGAGACTGAATGTTGGATTTGGGAGATGAAACAGCCGCCCCCTCCACGACGTGCGTGCAGCATTCACAAACGACCAGTACATGGCTACGGAGGCTGGAATTCGTCGCAGTCTGCATCCGAACAGCAGAAGAAGGACATCGGGTTCTGCATGCAGCCATCCTACGTGCTTGTTGTAGCGATACGGAGGCGGGCGACGAAAATTTGAAATCGCAAGGCCGTTGGGGCGCGGTAGAAATTCAAAACGAAAAATGAAGAGGACCCCCCCACCCCACACGGTGCTATGGTCCAGGGCCCAACGGTCAGCGTGCGAGAACAACCCTTGTCCAGCCTCAGGCCTGCTGGACCGAACACTGGAGCGCTACTTGTCCGCTCTGCAGGCTGGAGTACGCACCCAAGTGGTAGGTAAACGGCCCGACTTTTGGAAAACGGGAATTTAGGGCCACGTAGGAATAAGGGGGCCGCGGACCCAGTGGAAACGGTCCTCAGACGACTTCCGCAAAGCCAAAATCCGTCTGTGGGGTTTCGGAAGCCGTTTGCCGCCGTCCTGTGGGGTCGATTAGAGAGTCACCTGGCCGGGGGCTCGTCAAGACCACACTCCGCCCATACCGACCACGCGGTGCAAGGCGAATTTTTAGGGGGACCGCGCTAGGCCTCTACCGCGGAGTTGAGGGAGCGCCCGTACAACCTTTTCGAAATTTGTTGGAGCGCGGTGCCCCCGGCGGTCTGGCGAAGCCGATATCGCTATTCTATTGTACGCTCTGTCACTCTCGACATTTAACCTGCGCATGATTCGGCGAAAGTCCGACTGGCACAGTCATGGTCTTTTCTTTGCGGAGTTGTGTACAGAGAATATGACAACACACAACATACACACATAGAAACGCTATGGTAGACGATGCTCTACCAGGAAACACGTTCGCGCACACACACACACCCAACCAGGAAAGACATTCGCGCACACACACACACCCAACCAGGAAACACAGTCGCGCACACACACCCACGCACCCGAACTCGCAGACTACACGTCGGGGTGAATATCAAGAGGATTTGTGGTCGGTAATCTCCTTCACGTGCTGGACGCCGGGCTGGGCATCTTGAAGGTTGGACTCTGATTGGGCTCTGCATCGTGAAGGTTGGAAGCTCAGGCTCGGGTTGTGCATTGCATGGAGGCTTTGAGACGAACGCGCCCCGATGACCGAACGTGAGTAAACCCTCCGTTGGTTTCTATGCTGTCTCTGTTGATCGTCCTATCGATCAACGTGGCAAGTCCGGCACAGGAGGGAGGGAGAGATCGTCCGATCGGTCGAGGTGGTATGTGTGGCTGCACGAAATACCACGTCGATCGATTGATGAACTGGTGTGTGTGTGTGTGTGTGTGTGTGTGTGTG